TTGACAGGTGGACTACTTTTATTTCGCATACTCCACATCATTTGTAGCTGGATTAGGTGCGCAGCTGTCACACCCTTTTAGCCCAAACGTCATTCAAAATCAGCTTTTCACAGATGCAACGCAATTGTGCCTTATCATGAGTTGATATTTCTGCTCACCGCGTGCTCTGTTTTCAGGAACTCCATGGAAATTTACAGTTCACGCTAGAGTGCTTCTTACAGAGTTCTAAGCTTCGGTTACTTCGACTGCCCAAAGCACAAAGTATATCCGGGAAGACATTGGTTGATCAGTCTTTATTTCTGTCGGCCTGTCGACCTAGGACAAACTCTATTTGGGTGATGTATTACACTATAACAGAAATAACACTTGGCTACCTAAAACATATGTGCTGCGTTACTCGCAATACGTTTGCAGATTTAAACCTAACACCAAGTAGGTTAGCGATGACGTCGCATTGGCTGAAGTATTCTAACTGCCCGTCTCTGATTGATGTCCGCTTCGATTCCGGGATACTAGAGCACACTAAAGTCGGCACAAATTTTTGTTTCTTAGTGTCTTTCGACAAGTAACCGGTAGTGCGTGACATAATCGGTGATGTACCGCAGAGACCTGTTGCTGCTTGCACCAAAACAACTGCGCGTTGTTGCTCAGATTCCGATCCAGTGAACGGTGCTGATAATTTTAAATAGCAGCCGCAGATTAGCTAACACCCTAACCGGCATGTTTTCCCTCTGTACCCTCAGTCGATATACGTATCTACATTTGTAAATGCATCTTCATAAGCAACCGTCAACATACTAGCTATCAAGACATCGAGAAACCATGAAATGAATACGTATTATAAGCACAGAGATGGCAAAATGAAAAATGCACGAAGAGAATTCCTTAGTGTTTTTCACGTGCCAATTTTTCACTTTTGATCAATGGAATCAGTGATAGACTCATGCAAAACTTCCATTGCTAGGGATTACGCGCCACGTCCTAAAGTGTCTCCAACCACCGGTGTTTTTCAGTTCTCTCTGCTACTCCAGAAGCCGTACAGGGCCGGCGTAGGCAAGATTGGCAGTCAGCGTCTTGACACTTTATTATCAAGTGGCAGGTTGGCCAAAGCTTGAATTTCCATTGTGGCAATGCACAGGCAAATAGGGTCTCCGAGATAGGCAATCGCACTTTATATGTAGGATGTGACCTACCCACCTCAGTTGGAGCAGTGAGGTATGTATTACCCAGGACACGACATCCAACGTCGACTTTGCAAACGTTGTTTTCTCAACACAGGACTTATTCTTTGCAGACAACCGTTTTCATTGGCCGAAATCCGATGCAGACCTAGTACAGGGATCGGCCAATGCTCGCTTCCGTACTGCAGCATTGCGTGAAAACTGGCATTGTAGACCCCGCTATTTATAGTGAGTGAAACATCACTATGACGCAAGCTACCTCATGTCATACATTTGTAATACGGGAGAAATCTCTCTTCCCACTGTGCTAACAAAAGGAACACAACTCCCAACGTAGATGAATCTGCCAATTCGTTGGAACGGAGCTACTTCATTAAGCGGCACGGGGACAAATCAATGCCCATTCTGGAGTAGATCCTTGCATTTTGATGGAGCGAAGGAATGCCATACTTGGAAGCATAAAACAGCATACGGTTTTGAAAGCCCTGCTTTATCTGTGGGTTGTCACCGAGCAAGGCAAACTCATTAGCGTAGCCCAAGTCATTCACACGGTTGTCTGGGATAAACTCTACAACAAAGCTTCCGATACCTTCCGAAGCGTTTCATAATACTTCCTCAATCGCATCGTTGAAGAGAAACAGGGACATGGGGATCTCTGTCGCACACCGCTAGTGAAGGTGAAAGGTGTGGTAGCCCATAGTATACTCTTACTTTGCCAGAAGCACTGTTGTTAAAGCACGCAGGATGACGGTATACTTTCAAAGTAGCCCATTCCTTTGCATCAGCGCCATAATGCAGGCCGGTCAACCTAGTCGAACGCAGCTGGTATATCCAAAATGCCGACAATGGTAGCTTGGCGGTAACGGTGGTGCTGCTCAAGGTATTGTCGGGGCGTGAACATGTGGTCATGTGGTCAATAAAATCACGAGCAGCCGGAAACCAAACTGTTCATCATGAGAGTATATTTTTCGAATTGGTGTTAGTCTGAGGATTTGAATGCGTGTTAGTCATTCAGAGGCGAAGGTAATTAGCTTGAGTCGTCTGTGGTTGGCGGATAAGTTACGAGCACGCTTTCTCGAAGATGAGCAAACTAATCGACTTGCCCCACGAAAATGGTATCATTATTTGCATGAGATTTTGAAGAGCAGAGCTGTTAATTGGTGATTATCATCGCCTAGCCACCGTGCTTGAACAACTCCGGAGAAAGTCTGTCTGTGGCAGCAGATTAGAGTCGATTCAAGTGACGAACCTCGAGACAGAATTCTGCTGCGTTTGTTTGTTTCATTGAAACTTCCATACTGCTCAATTAGGCGGACTTAGTAAACAACCAGAAGGAGGAGACTAATTGAATTGAGAGTGGAAGTGCTCAGCTTACTGGTCTATGTGCCTACTCAAATTAGTGGTTGGTGATGCATCAGCCATACTACTAGCTTACCTGATGCCATGTCTACTGTATCGAGGGGTTCGAATGATTTGGAAATATTGTAAAATTTTCCAGACAGCTGCTGGATCCATTTCCCAAGCTTGCGGAGACCGGCAAGTTCCGCGAACATTACGCAAGCTTTCACTGACTTACTAGCTGATAATACGGAAAACTTCATTGCAGTTTTATTTAGGCGGGTTAGCTCGGCAAAGATCAGAGTGATCGGTGCTCAAGGACCTCGTACGACGTTCAGCGGTCCCACAGTACGATTGATAGGAAGAACGCAACACATTCATCATGATATTCCAATGGTGTTAGACATTTGTAGGTAAAGCAAAATCGAGTGCAACTGAGAATGAGGATTGATAGGCCAATTGATTGAAGGGGGCTATCAAGCATGTCAGTGTCAAGTGGCCGGTGCTTTGGCTTCAAAGAACCACCAAAGAATATTCAGATGTCCGCAAATATAGGTAAAAGGACCAAAGAATTTACCTGCAATACCGTATGCCGCTTTGCCATCTGAAGCTGACTTCAATGTAATCAATTTGCACCGCGCTTGTGTCGACAAAAGGGGACATCAAGTTGCAGCGCGTCTCCACGAATACCCAAAGTTCATGCCCACATAAGGTATCTCCCTTATAAGAGCGACTCTCATCAACAGCATGAAGACAACCAGAAGGACGCTCACATAACAGCAGGCGATCGATCGGTGCATTGAAGTCTCCGATAAGAATGATGTCAAAGGATTTTTCGGATTTATTTGAAAGCTGGTTGAATCAGTGAGAGAAGTCGTCCCTTACAGAGACACAAATTCATGTCGGTTGAAGCATAGGCTGAAGCAACAAAACATTGGTTGCCATAATGGACATGGCGGTTCGTATGACTGACCTACCAATAGTCACAAGGCTACACAGGTTCATGCGTAAAGGCACAAACACATAAAGTACGCGAATTTCGATGTGGACAGAGGAAACATAGTCGCCGTCTTTGATCCAGGCATTCGAGGTTCCGTTTAAAGAAGAATTTGCATTGTCTCCCGCTGTTTACACAATTCCGTCGCATTTACATGATTACAATATGCTCTGAACAGCGTCCATTCGCCTAACACCCCATTTCTTTCTAACCATTTGTTGATATTCAGAGTGGAATGCAAAACTCTAATTTCCTTTCAAGAAGTCTAACGTGGCTTTCAATAGTTCCCTTTTTTGCAACAGGTCCAATTTGGTTTGCAAAACATCCATTTTAAAGTGGTGGTATATATAGATTTATATGAAAAGTGACATCAGCAACTAATGTTGTCAGTTAACATACTCTATGGATTAAGTACGCTGCTTGCCTTATGATTCGCGCTTTGGACATATACATCGTTTTTTTAATGAATATGCACCACATCTAATAATAAGGCAGTCAAAGAAATTTGCCTTCAGTTGCGGTTTTAACGAACTATCTAAGTAAGGTTAAAAATGTCGCTCCGAAGATTCATTCACTTCTACAGACAGCATATTGGGATTAATATTACCTTCAGTAAAACTATTTGCAATTAATTTTCTTAAGATTGCACAGTTCAAAAATAACTTGGAGACAAAGTTATGAAATGAGGAAAGTAATGCTAGATTTACGCCTCATGTTTCGTTTTTCAGTACTACGCTACCTACAGTACGATAGATTATGACATATTATCTTTGCTTTTGTCATAATTCCCTCAATTACACAAGTTGCTGTGAAAATAAAACCTTTTTAGTTTACTGGTAGTCATTGATACGGTTAATCTGATGTGATCCATTCCTTTCGCCATTCTCCTTAAGCTGTATATAACTCGTTAAGCATTGTAATGATGAATGTGTTTATCACAAAATCAAATTAGGTCTTTTATACACGACGATGTTTAGTAAATTCGTTCCATATCTGTTATTGTTAAAGAACTACCCCGATCATTCCAATTGCGTTTAGATGTGGATCGTTAGATGATTTAAACTTAGTTTGACAAATTACGCGAAAAGTTTTATGCTTTGACAAAAAATTATAAACATTTGACCTAAAGCGTTATTTCTGTAAACTACATGAGACACATTGCAGTAATTTACAACAGCATATCAACCGTTCCAACCGAATGATATTGGTAATCAAGGGTGTTCATTGCTGAAATTAATTACGTAATCCACTCCTGAGTATGTATACAAGGGCTTACTAGTTATATGAGGTAATTACATCATTTTATGTCATAAATAAGCACCTACTATTTTGACTATGTTAAACATATTGAGCATCCTTATAGTTTTGAATGTAAGAACAAATACCTTTGAATTATCCAGTCAGTAGCGACATTCGAAAGAAGAAAATTGCAATATTTTTGAATACCTTGTCATGTTATCCTCATTCTCGTTAACCACCACAGGATGTCAAACCAGCAAGAAAACACAATTGCAGAAGTATCGGATGACATGAAAAATGAACCTATTAAAGCGCCTGCTGTGCAAGTAGCTAAAGTAATTGCCGACCTGCAACAATATGGTCAGTTTTATGCAATCGAGTTGAGCAGTTCCAGTTATTTGCAGTGCTATATTTTATAACAAATCATACGGTAACTTTTTTGTTTAAAATAAGCAACAAATGATACTTTTATCATTACCATGCTCTATTCTATAAATATACTATGTCACAATACTTCATTTTAGATGTAAATCATACTAGCATTAAACAGCATTGCCTAATTGGTATATGCTTGGTAATATCTACGAAATATAAACACTGTTGTTATTGTGCTTTTCAGAGTAGAAAGGCGGGTACATGTTTACACCAACTCGCACATTAGTAGTCTAGTCATATTAATCAATTTTCGCACACACAGCTTAAAGTTGAATAAACGTGGTTGAGTGAAACTAATTGCAATACTAAAATGGACTCACCTTCTGAAAATATTCCAAGAGCCTTTCTGATAAATAATTTCGGCGGGTGTCGGAAATACATATGTAATTATGGTAGCAGATGACATCCTCCAAATAGGCCAAGACGAATCTATCTGCGATGATTTGGTGTTAAACCTAAACCGGATAGTTGTGCCGAAGAAAATAGTTTTGCCGATTATTAGAACGAGATGAGCTGGCAAGGCAAATTACGTTTTATCCCTGAACGTTAGAAGTGCGATACAGAAATGAGGTTACAATTATTTGCTTTCCTTGTGCATAAACATATATATGTTTCGTCTCTTTTCCTAATTGGAAACTGCGCCGCCAAATGCAGAACTGCTGTGTTTTTCTTAGCATGGTCTGTTTTACCTAATTTTTGAATAATTTCGCTTAACATTAATACGGTATCTGTTTTGCTATTCACTGTGGAATAAACTGTAGATACGTCTAAGAAGTTAAATATCAAACGAACAAAGCAATTTTGAAGCAAGTGGTGAATGTTTTCATTCCCAACCTAAGAGGTATTTTCAAGTTCAGAAGTCAATAGTCTGCTATTAGTTGATGGTAAGTACTAAAGAAACCTTTCTGAAATGGCATATTTGGTGGGTACCCAAAACCCTTAGTATCAAAATCCCCACAAATAAGATATATTTTTGTATGACTCCTAAGTGTTTTAAGAAAAAATAAACAGAGTAATCAAGGGATTTTGGTTTTCGTTATTATAATGTTTCAGAACGAAAAAGTAAACAGTGCATGTTTCTTACACCCTGTTAAATGCCAGTAAACCGAACTCATATTCTGCTGATGCGGTTTGCACGGCCAATGTAGACTGCTCACTGGATGATCTGTTGCTAACTCAGGATAGCAGATGCAGACCAAAGTAAACTGTAAGTAGTTACAAGGATACACTAATACTTTCTTATAACAGCTGGCATGTGTTTTCAATAGTTAGCATACTAGGTTATTTCAGTGTTATATTTGCTTGAAAATACGTTTATACAGATGATGTTGCATCGAAGAAATCGGAAGAGGTTGCATTTGATCAACATACTGTTGGAGGTAACCCGAATATTCCAAATGCAGTAGAACCGTTGCGATCCTCAGAAGCACACAATGTTTCATTTGAACTGGAGCCTTCAAGGTTAACAATACTGAGCACAATTGGGCAAGGTGAGTTTCCCATTAATTGCACTGTACCGCAAAATGCCAGTTGCAAAGGCGGTATCTGTTTTGAAGATATCGCTAGTGGAAAATGAGAAATTTACCTCTTTTATCCAAGTTTATTAATCGTACATAAATCATTAATAAAACGGCATTATGGTTTGATGTCATGCTTTGTCACAGTTATACTACTACTGTAACAACTTTCAATCAAGTTGTTAAAACCGCTTTTCCTAGTATCTAGTTTTACCTGCATATGAACCTAGTGAAACCCTGTATAACCTGCATCATCACCTTCTCTTATGCGGCTCTCTACGTTTTGACGGCTTGTTTGATATCATATGGCCTAGACGTCCTTCTAATACTACAACTGAGTTTGGCTTGATTTTAAATTTCACAGTATGTTATGCTGCTGTTATAGCATGGCGAAGCCTTTGGATTTAAAACAAATCGGTTTACTAAACCCTCATTTTGTTAGTGTACGGACTTGTACATTTATAGTAGCGTTAAGAAGTGTAGTAAGAATTTAGGAGCCGAAGTATATGAGCACTCATTGATATTATGCACACACATTTATACATAACTACCAGGTCGCATATGACAGTTTATGCCCCGGGGTACAATTTGCTGTTGTTGACAATATTTCCCAGTGGATCGAACAATATCTGTTAAAGATTCGGTGTTTAAACGAGCAGAGCAACCACTAACAACACCGCATTTAGATCAGTACACAAACATTCGGTAGGGATATGGACGACTTTTGTTGAGGTCCAAATTGAAGAGAGGATAATGTATATTGAGATAAAACTTGGTACCAGGTAATGCACACAATTTCAGACATCTTAATTTAGCATATTTGGTTGTGCCCGGCTACAACTGACATACCGAAGTCCCCTCACGCTCTTAAGTACTTAGCCGGATGTCCTACAATTAGCCTTATATATCCATGAGGATTTGGACTTCAGTTTAACCACTGTGCAGAGGACTGTTGATGAACTCCTGTAGAAACCGTATTTATTGATCTTGCTGTTATCCGTTCTGAGTCAACAAACTATTCAAGCATGCGTTCAATAGAATGTGAATCGAGAATTGTTTCATGTTTAAATACAATTTGTAATACGCATAGCTATTGCTCCGACTGTTAGTGACATTATATCCTGGAATATGATAAGTTATTTTACCTTCAAGTTTGGTAAACGATTAGAAAACCACAGAAAATATTGGTAACATTCTCAGTAGCATTTTCGCGTATTTTATTTTATTCCCGTGCAGTCTATGACCAAAATTACGCATACGTATTTGTGACAAATTATATCTGAATCGCTGATGAACATGTATTATACGCTTTGTCACATTCCAATATTTAAGGACTCTAGCAGTCGCAACCTACCTGAGATAAATGGTGCAACTAGTGGTACAAAATTAAGCGCCCTTCTCTCTACTTGCTTTAATTGTGTCGGCACTTTGGACAGTGTGTTCTGTAGAAATATAATTCTGCAGACGTTTGCATCGCAAATTTGAAAATTGTGTGAGAACCTTGGTCATTAACCTGATGTGTGTATCTGCACGTTTTCATTTAAACAAAACTCGTTTAACGAAATTCGTTAAGAAATACCTAATCAAACTGAGAAAATGGACACGACATATCAGCCAGTAGATGACACTCTAGTAGTTATTTTCACTTAGCACTAACGTAATATTTCTATTTAAAACTGCATATATTTGGCTGCTGGTATCGTAATTTTGACTCATATTTTCCTGCACGGTACGGTCAGAGAAATACACGAGGTGGGTGCTTTGAATTCCACGTGTTTATCAGCGTATTTTCTTTCACCAGGTGAATTTGGTGAAGTTTGCGCCGCAGAACTGGATGGCTATCAGATGGTTGCTGTAAAAACCCTTCGGGCGAATGTGCCTCAGAAAGCACATCAAGACTTTCTAAAGGAAGCCTCAACTATGGAAACCTTATCGCATGATAATGTGATCAAGTTAATCGGAGTTATTACACAATCGGAGCCAATGGCAATTGTGACCGAGTTTATGAAATACGGTTCACTGGATAAGTATTTAAACGTAAGCTGTAAATAAGACGCCGAATCTCCCTTTGCTATTTCAAGTTATGTATATTTTATGATTTTAGTTTACTAACATACGTTACATACATCGACCAAATTCTGCTTTTTAAGCTATAATAACGGGACACAAAAGTGTAGCTCATAATGTGTAAATGTCAAATTCATCTGTTCAGCACACTGTATGTGTTGGCATGTGCCAACGTAGCTGTCCGGCAAAATGCAAGATTTTACGTGCACCCTGTGTTAAACTATCGTCATTGCATCGCTATTAGCATATACATGCATAAATGCAGATCAGTAATCGCGAATATTGGGGCCTTAACTTTAAATGTTTTACGGGCTGGTTGTAGTTTGGTTAAATATAAACCAGGTTAATGATGGATTGCTTTTTTAGCACGGTAAAGCAAAAGCATGTGAATACACTAAAAAATTATGGCTTCAGTAAATGTGTCTATTCAGGAAGATTCACTGCTTCATAATTGGAGAAAGTGAAGCATAATGACCTTATGCCAGGATTTCTGGTTAGGTGTAATATGAATATGACTTACACAGCAGAATTATTACACTGCAACAACTCCCTACCTTTTTCGTCTCTGATCTAGAAAGCAGGTAAAGTGATAAAATGCAAGCAACTTCTTCAAATGATATTGGACATTTGTGAAGGCATGAAATATGTTTCTGGACTTGGATATGTTCACAGAGTAAGTTTAAACCTCAGCTTATATCGGAAAATAAATGTTAAGTGAAGTAGCATATCTGGCTCATTAAGAGCCAGAAGAAACCTTACTAAGGATGATGACAGGATAACCGTACAGTAAACTGCATTTTAACATTAATAATACTTGTTAAGACGCCTTTTTGAAGCCATTACCAACTATCTAAATTATATGGTGCACATTTTTAGTTTTTTTCAGCGTGGTTTGCTATTCCTTATTAATTAATGGTTCTAGACAGATAATGGGGCTGCATACGACGTTTCGCATAACAAACATGAAAAATGTATGTATTAACTCTGTATTTTATCTACCAAATCAGTTGCATTTTTAGAAGCTGATGATGCTGCATGATTTGGAGAATGGGATCTGAAGTGTCATTCCAATTAAGGTGTTTACCTTAGCAATGCAACTTTGGTTAACTTTTGACGTTTCTGTTAGATCAAAATGTCTTGTTACTTTGTCTAATAATACGTTGACTTTTAGTATAAAGACATGATACATTCGTTCAGGTCTGTTAAAACATCCATCGTAAAAAACAAGTCTACTAAATTTACTAGATCCACCACGATTCCTCTAAACATTATTTTGCAATGTGGTCTTGCCCCAATGGAGATTTTTTCTGGCTTCCACTTAACGTAAGTCTAGCTCAGCAATCTGTGCACTATTAGTTTTACTTTGGAGTTCCCACAGATCAAAAGGCGAAATGTAGCATCTGTATTGCCGATATTGTACAATGCTTTGTTAACAATCTCCATCGATTCGTCCTGCGATGCCATCGTACGCATTCAAACCGGAGGGTGTTTGGGTAACTGCCTCCTCACAAGCGATCTTAAAACCCGCAAGAAATTGAAACAAAAATCGTCATCATAACCCGCCAAAGAACCACCAAAATCCAGGTCATACGGTCAAATATTCTTCAGAGCGAAAACGCTGACGATGTATCTAGGTAGTATGCACTGTGTATGAATTTGTTTACAGAGTTGCGAAGGCGAAATCGGACAGTCCGTTAGCCGTGGTTGCAGTTACATTTGTTTATCGTAACTTTCTGCTTTAAATTGACGCTCTCTGCACACCATAATTGGCTTCGCATGTAAGCAAGCTCAGTAAAACACTTAAACGCTGGGACCGTATAAAAACTGCACGCATAACCAGGCATTTTCCATCCACCGCAATTGAGATATCCATGTGGGAATTTATTCTGGCGTTGAAACCGAGAGCGTGCACTGAAGGATCGAGGTACGCAATGTCAACCTCTCCCAGGCGTTCGACAGCATAACGGCGCTGAAAATTTAATAGTTATGCTCGAAGGCTAACTTTCCAACATCTTGGACGTAGGCAGGTTTATCACACCGTAAAATACAATGCGGGAGGAAACACGTAAGTCGAATCTGATACATACACATAGCTACACTGGCCCACGATTCTTAAGAACAAATATACTCATAAGAGTAACGTAAAGGAAGTTAAAGACAAACACATTCTACTTTTCATGATATGTCTCCATAGCAGCGCATAAATCTTGCTTTTAGGGCAGGCGTGAGGTACCGTTATCAATTTTTGGAATTCAAATTACCCTATGTTATTTTTCGACCGTTCAACGCAGGCTGTCCGAGAAACCCTGTTACTCATAACTGCTTAATTCCAATGATTTTCGGGCTGTTTTTCTTTAGAAACATAGCGAATATGTTACGTACAATACACCAACCTTTATAATCCTATTATGGTTCAAAAAAGCTTTTGCAGGCATGCATGTTCGCTTAATGGGTGGACGTCTGTCACTTATTAGAAAATTGTAAATAAACTGACAGCATTGTATATGTTGATACCGTGTGTTGCTACATTGCTAGTGTCAAGCATGCCAATATATATCTTACCATTAAGATAACAGAGAAGTATCCACAAACAGTGCTCAGTGATCCTATTTATGCTCTCTTGCATACTGCCAAAACTAACTGATGTGATTACTAAAGTTTATGCTCAGCTAATAGTTGTTATGCAAGAAATTGTAGTCTAAACAATATTTGGCCCAGAATTTTATGGTTATGATGAGGATGTACAACTGGTTTAAACAAACGTTCACAATTTAAGCTTAACGTATACTAACGGTTTAGCGACAATGATTATATCTGCCGAAAGCGCCGCTAAATTTGATGCCTGCATATTTAAAGTGTGGGAAGACACCTAGAAATGCCCAAGAGGAGCTAAATTTCTCATTAAGACTACACGATAATTTCAAGATGAACACTGTTATATGTAGAAACTGAGGGCAGTAATTCCCTTGTGTTCAGCTTTCTTGTTAACGAGCATTCTAGGTCCAGGTTTCATTTAGCATGCTTTCCGATCACCGCTAGATCCAGTTATAGATGAACAAGTTCTTTTCAATGAAATATATTTCGACATTTTGACGTTCTTACTTAGCAACGAAATATATATGATGGCGCAAGAATTTTCCAACCACCATTTGCGATTCAATTATTAATTCATTGTTTAGAAACGCAAATCAGCAATGTGAAATAAGATGAACACATTTCATTACATCTTACAGAGGTAAATACAGTATCAGGTAGATTTGTATGCGTGCATTCTCGAAGTTTGAAGTGCTGGCTATTGTATGGGATTTGATAATGGATTACAATTCTTCGTCGTCACGTAGTGAAAAAGAAACATTAGGGGCAACTGAAAATATGCACTTTCGTTTGACGAAAATTAGGCATTTATGCATTTCAGTATTTGTATTCTTCCCCAACTTTCGACGGATTTTTATTGTGGTATAGCTTGATGCTCTAAATGTTTTGCACATTAAGAATAAAAATATTGCACAATTTGTCACCGAAAACACACAACGTTTTGTGAAACAATATGAGAAGTTATTTGTGAGTCCTGCATTTTCCAATTGCTTTTAAAAATCCAATAAGCTAAAACACTTTTTAATTTTATTGATTTACCGTGGGAACGCGCAGGTCTAGTTATGCAAAAGATAGTATATTTTCACGATTTTAAAATACACACTGATCTCTGATACTGAAGATTGAATGAATAACTGAGGTTGCTGCAATTTATTGCGTTTTTCCCACATGTTCAAACCTGAACTGGCATCAACAATGGTCAACGGAGGGATAAGTTTATGTTAGTTATCATTAAGTACAGTAAAGTCTCGGAAGTTAATCACTATATTCTTGGTACTTGTTGATGGCGTCAGGCATTTTAAAGCTTGAACGTTAAACATAAAAACCATTTATGATTTATACAATTGTATTTTGATTACCTCTGCATGATGACCAATTTGGTCCACGCACTTAAGTGGTTTACTTAAGTTGGTATTACGCAGAAGAAAACACGCAGTTGACATACAGAAAATTAATGAATTGGTGCCGCATGCAACCTATCACCCCGATATTTAGCCTTTGGTCTGCAAAACGGATGCGGTTCGTCAGGCGTGTTTTCAATTTTTGCCAGATCTGTGCATTGATCGGTTAATCGCATGTAATATAATTCAGAGAGATGCAGTAGGATGAATGCTGTCATCCATTTGCTGCTTGTTTTTTGGGCTATATCTTTCAATGAGTTATTTTTGACCTCATTATCTGGACTTGTAACAAGTTAGCCAGATGGCCTGCAATTATATTTACAAGCCCCTAGCACCTTATGGTTAAACTTTCAGGAAAATTTTTTAGCAAACCTTATCTTTCTACCGTCTAATTTACTTGTCACCAAGATCCAGTAAAATAAGCTAAAATTAATGAATTTTGACGTTTATTGCACTGCCTTGTTATATCACAATTTTGCTGTGAAACATTGGAAAAGCCATGAGGATTAATGCCGAAAAGTGCGATTGTGCTTGAACAACGTGGTCCATAAATCTTGGTTCCTTTTAACGAACTATTGGTAGTCTCCAATACTTATACTGTGCTGGCATTTAGTGTGTCATAAAAGGGGAAAGAAAGTGTCCTATTATAATACTAACATGATAACCGACGTGAAGCCATTCATGGGTTATTAATTGTCGAAATGTGGCTCTGCTAAATAGCAGCATTTGAAAATAGTTGAAATCAACCAGCTGTTTTTACAATAAGACAGCTTAATTGAAATTCCACAGTATATATTCGAGATGACAAATAAAATTTGCATCTTAAACTTTTATCCTTTGTCCTTAGGACTTAGCAGCTCGCAATATTCTTGTGAGTGAAACTATTGTGTGCAAAATTTCGGACTTCGGTTTGGCGCGAAGTCTTGAAGATGGCTTCACTGATGACATAAACGCATTCAAGGTGAGGCATCTGTAAAATAACGTCGACTGTGGAATATACTTTACCGACCTTTTACATCTAATTTTTACTGGTAACGGTTTCAAAAATAAATTCATCCATAGTTTTAGATTACCAGGGAGCTTTGGATTAGCTAAGGTTTGAGTATAATATAACAATTCATATTATTTCATTTCATCAAACAGATAATTTTGTTTGCGCCATTTTTAAATGACATTACTAAATAGAATATTTCACTTTATTTCATCCAGCATTTTACTGAATTGCTGTACAAAAGCCATGCAGTTTTTCATTTGTTATTAATCCCAGAGAAATATACTAGACAATACATTTTGGCAAGTCGCTCTGTACCATTTAGCGGACTATATGTCGACAATTGGAAGTAACTATTTGCTTAGAGAGTAAGATACATTTTGTGCTGAATTACCTCGTTATATCAATACTGTCTTAAACATCCTAAATTTTGCTTCTATCCAAACAAGTGCGTTTGATGTTGAAAGATCCCGAGTAGAATCTGTTTAAACTAGGATTGCGTTAAAATTGTCACTGCCCTCTTTTATTAGTTAAAGAAATTTGTAGAAGCTTTATATTGAATTCAAGAGAAGTCATACAATTTTAACAACACGTTTTGTAAAATTCTGCTTTCACACCACTATCATTTTCATCATATTTCTATAGTTATTTGCTAGATGCTAGCCAAATCCACTAATATCAGTCAGCCCGTAAAAGAAGAAGGTGCAATTGCAGACGCCCATGATGTAACGGCCTGTGACTCATTCTTTGTTCCTGTGCATTTTTCGAATGACATAGCAGCTCAATCATTTTATTCTCATGCTCCACTTATACAGGAAGGCAAAGTTCCCATTCGCTGGACGGCTCCAGAAGCGGTTCTCTATCGGCGTTTTAGCCCCGCTAGTGATGTGTGGTCATTCGGTATTGTGATTTGGGAGGTGTTCACATACGGTCAAAGACCTTATTGCGATTGGACCAATCAGACTGTGATCAATATGCTGGAATCTGGATATCGACTTCCTGCACCGGACCAATGTCCACTGGGGTTACAAAACTTGATGCTTGAGTGTTGGTCAGCAGACCCTACTACAAGGCCAAACTTTAAGCGCATCGCTGATGAGATCGCGTCACTGATGATGACAGAGCCAGGTATGCAGGAAGATACTCGGCTTAGTGAGAATACCATAAAGAGACAGCATACATCATACTCAAATGATGGAATATATATGGGCAATTCGCTTTCGAACGGCAGTAAGAACAGAACAAACGCCAACGTGCCACGAAAATGCTTAACTGAACGTATTGCACTCGCTTATAACATTGTGCCGGAGACACAGCCAAAATATCGGCAATGGTATTCAAGTTGGTTGACGGAAACAAAACACACTTTCTCCAATGGGGCGTACCAAAATATGTCTGCCGCTCGAACCATGTCCGAGCGTTATACGCAGTTATTTTAGTAGTGCATAACTGTGTGAATTTATGTATTTAATTATGGCAGGATATAAAACGACGTGACGTTTTAAAAGCTCCATTGTGGTTGTGTGAATTTTGTTGGAACAGACGACGATATTCCAGCATTGCTTGATATTTACCTTTTGAATATCACTACACTTGTAACTGTTCCTCGGTGAACATAATCCACTACAAATGTCGAAAGATCAAACAAGGATAGGTGGCCACATTTTCATGGTGGACATTAACTATTTGCTTCTTGATATAAAGCAACACCTTACACTCTCATTTACATTAACAACCCTGCCTTGGTAAGGAGACCTGCGTTGCCCCTTTTCTTATTTATACATGCGATCAGCTTCTACTTTTATATGATAATGCACGCCTATCGGACAAAGTAATCTTACCCTGCCATACTGCTGGTGTATAAGACTGAAAGAACATAGCGCACCACACATTGGGTAAAAACTAAAGAAATGGCTTAAATCATATTGCAGATGTTCACGGTAGATATTTAAATCTTTTGCGCAGGAACGCAATTCACGGTAAGACAGTCGGTGTTTGGACATTGTGCTTTGATGTGAAACCATAGGAAGAATAAGGCGGAAGAATAAGATGCTACATGTTACTTTCCAGTGGTGTTAGGCTTTGAAAACCGGATGCAAACTGTTTTGATTCTTTGGTGTCCAGCGGTACATTATTTTTATAAAAAGGATCATGTTAGATTAATGGAAATATACGTGAGCGCCAACCAAAAGGTATCGTACCAGCAACAAATTTCCCTCAAGTGTAAATAAGCCACTAACATCGCCATTATGCTTAAAACAATGGAGACAATTAAAGTGAAGCAATAGTGAAATAATATTATGGACATTGGAAGGGTTGAGTAAGTAAACGAATTCTGCAAGTAAAAATGGTAAGCGTATATCACTAAGGTTTTTTATCCAATGTGTAACTTCATCATCATTTCGTAAAGAGACTAAAGGCGAAAAATTCCAAATGCCATTGAAACATAATACTTTGCATTTTACTTTAAGTATTTGGCTGGTAAAATAGCACAGAGTTTGGCTTGCGGCTTGTGAAACCTTCAGTAACGGTCTAAATTCTATAAACAATTCCCTTGAAATCAATTACCAAGTAATTGATTTCGAAATCACTGTTGTGAAACATGAACACTCCGCAACATAAAACCTGTGTTTAATTCGTTATTATGCTGTGTACACGTCGCTTTTTACTTCCAAAGCGCCATATAGTTAAAAGGGAACCAACATTAATACACAAACGCTTGCTCATAGTTAAGGTTAACGAACACGACCTAATAATTTAATGAACTACTTTCTGGATGTGCCTGATTTCAATACCGGTTCTTTTTGCAGAGGTCCTTTCCTCCGATACCACTATGATCTTTCTGCGTATATTACTTTTTATTGAACGAATTTAAAACAGACTATTTATAAAGGCAAGTATTGGATACAGCACATCCGAAAGTGCTTCGTAACCAGAATACGTTTGTTAATTACAAGTATCTTCACTTTCAGGAAAACAAACATACCGACATTCTAACTTAGTGTGATTACGTCGGCATACATTTTATTTTTGTCAATAATTAATACTTCGGTACTTATTCACCTGTTTCTTCATATACTCAGAATACGTCAACTTTTCTAGTCTAATGTAATAGGAACACATTAACATTATATAGGAATATCGACCTATTCCAAAGGAAGCTTCAGTATTTATGCTCGCAATATGGGAAGGAGGAAAGGATGAAGAGACCACGTCACGCGGCCACTACCTTATGTAGGGGGCAGCGTTCAGGATTTTATGTGAGTGTCCGTTCTCATGTACAGTGGTCCAGACCACTTTACCAGTTGGTCCCGAGCTCGGACCCTACCATTTCTTTACATACCGCCGGGCAATAGCCAAAGGTCAATGAGCTGACACAATTCGCACATTGCTAGCTTTCCGTAAACGGGTGTGTGGCTGAGAACCGTGTGCAGCTTGCCACTTACGTACTAAGACCAGCTTCAGCTTGTAACGGCAAGGATGCTGCTTCAGTGCAGTTCTCGTTGGTACGTTTGTCGAACGGAATTAATACCATTTAAGCTCGTTCGTTCTGCGCGCACAGGACGCTGTCCCATATGGTCTGCATACAAATCTACCCTGGCACTCCATGTGTGTGCTATTAGCTGATATGGAATAGACACCAACGAAAACAGCAGGTAACCTTTTGCTTCCGCGACGGTTGGACGCATCTTGTTGAATTAAAAGCGCTTTTCAATTTTATATTTGGGCCGCTGCTACAAACGTAATGTATTATAATGTTCTGCGATCTGGTCTGCCTTTCGTTTGTTCAGCCTAGCATCACAATTACGGCCGCATCTTTGTTTTCCTTTGGCGTAAGTGGGTATACATAATGAGTGCTCCCATGATTATTATCCTTGGTGGAAACTTAGGTTTGCTTTTACTGCATCCCTTTTTAATTTCCAACTAATCATTCCCATGGCACAAAATCAAAAGTCTTCAGATACCCTAGCTACATACGCTTTGAATTAATCGGATTTCTTGAAGTTCGTCGGATATTTTGTTACGATGAATCAGTAGTGATTTGCTAGTGCAACCATATGGATGCAAATGCTCTCTAACCAACGTGGTTTACATTTCATTCGACCAGGTCACGGGGTTTGCTTAAGCCATGCTTCGACGAGAGTTTCGTGCAAAGGTTTTAGGAGTTTTGCTAATCAACTGGTATACTTGTCCTATAGAGAGTTGTTCATGTACATAAGCGGCCGTAGCAGATTACTTGCATTTGGCAAATCCCGTGCGTCTCTCATGGTTGGTGTCCTTGTTCCTGTCGGTATCATCTGCCTGTAGTTTGCATCTGATTTATATTCATGAAGAAAATGATTTGGTTCTTTCTCGTTAATTGCTTCCTCACCATTATATTGTTGTCTATCATTATTTAGTCAATGTGAGATTTGTGTCTGTCGAGGACAATGGAACCTACGTTATAATGTAATCTACTGTTTCCTTTTCTACTGCACTCACTCCCTTATCCGGTTGCGGAACGAATAATTACTTCATCTCCCTTACCTTCTTGATCGCCTTAGACTATAAGCCTTTCAAGTAACATCACTCGCATATCCGTAAATTTACGAATCCATTGGATTTATCCCCCTGTGTGGCATGAAGGCATAATTTGTCGTCCGCTGAATTTAATGAGAAGTCACTCAGCTGGTCATACCGATCCTTCAAATAATACCACATAAAGAGTTTGTCCACAATATTTTGCTGATATTCCGTATTTTAATCTTAACAAATTTAGTCCATATTTTCTCCTAAGAACCGAGCCAATTACACGTTGTAAAAGTGTTGCAACCTCTCGGTAGAGAATAGAGTCGTCGCTGCTGTTGTAAAGAGTCTGGAATATTGAGCAATATCTTACCTGTAGTATGACAAAGATTGCGACAAATGTTCCAAATTTGAATTGGCAAACCAGTAGTACAGTGCTTTTCCGGGCATGTGTCGGCTATCTGAGTGAGTCTAGATGTGACGAATTTCCACATATGCCATTCATCTCCCCCTACTACTCTTCTTTAATCAGTACGCAGACCAAACTGCTTATAATGCCATAAGATAATTGGCGGCATAAGTTCGGTAAGCTCGTCGCTTGGTGAGGGGGCTACCCTGTCCTCTGCACGGCAGTAACATGTAAGTCAGTGGATAGTGAGCAGCGCTATATCACATCTAGTAACTTATTCACGATGGTCGTTGCCGTCCCCCGTAGCTCAGTGGTCTCAACCACGGACTGGCAACAGTCATGTTGCGATTTCGAGCCCTACCAGGGGTCCGATGGAATGCTCACTGCTGATGATTCCCGAATGAATGAAACGCGCGTACAGTGCTTTTCCGGGCTTGTGGCGGCTGTCTGATTAAGTCTAGATGTGACGAATTTCTACGTATCCCATTCAACTCCCCCTGCTACTCTTCAGAAACCAGTAGTCGTTGAGTTATCTTTATCGCAAAACGTAATTTTTTCTCCAAGATCTGTGCTCCCGCTCACGACAAGCACCGTCGTTTGCCGACGTAATCATGCCAGTTGTGTGTCGTTTGTGGGCTAGACAGCCGTGGAATGCATAATACTTTCATTCAAATGGGTTTTCATCTCAATCCGCTAAGACCAGGGTATATAACTCAGCGATAAAGTACATGTATTTCGCCACGACTGATGGGCTCAATCAAGATGCTAACAACCTATGTATTCCCAAAGCGTTAACGAAAACCGATTATTTAAAACAATTATTTCCCTTTGGTAGTTTACGAAGCACAATTAGAAGACGAACTTCGCTTGATGCATGCAATTCGTATCATCTCGTCAGTGCCGATAAGGATAACCCGTAAATTTTATATAACAGTTGGTGAGTACATACGCACCTATGAAGCAACGCGAGAAAAAAGGATGTCTTGTTCTAAAACCAGGGCAGCCTGAGGCTGACCGATAATAGTTTTTGAACACGAAGCAAGAGCTTAATCCGATTAATGGCAATAGCCGCGGTAAACCTGAGGGGCCGGAATTAATATGACGAAGCAGGATTCTAAACGTCTTTTTGAGCTCAATTCGGTGACCAGATATCAATAAGTGCCTGCCGATCGAAGATGCTAGCGGCTTGCTTACACTCGTAGTCTGATTTGGGCTCCCTTTCTGAATAAGCTCACATTGAACCCATTTTAGTAAAAGCTCCTTTATTCGGGAACTCAGTGTTCTATTGGTTCCGCCTATGCAACTATCCCTGCAGTTACATACGAACTGATATGCGCAGTGGGAGTTGACGCCAATAAGCTGAGGTTCGTTTAGTGGAGACAAATGTAGCTTATGCGTTCAGTCGATGATTGCAACTACGGCAGCGCAGAAAGTTCTCTGTGTGGTGGAAACCAGACGTCTTCTGGTCCTCAAAGAAGCAATGTCACCCTTAAAGGACAGCTATAAGGATACGTATACTTAGGCACAGTAGGTACAACAACTTCATTTCACGGATTTCGCTATGCATTCGGATAAATTTTCGAGAGTAGCCATTAGCAATTAGGGTGTTGGTAATTAGTTCTGTTCCTCGGCGGCACAATCGGTCAAACAAATTCGGTTGGCTCGACTAAATAGAGAATTTACAAGCATGCGCTCATGTCGAATTGACGTAAAGCTGGTACAAAACAGATACTGTCCCGACCACTTTGTTTTTCGGTAGACAGACCGTTTTACCAGTCCGATCTCCCAGCGGCTGTTTACAACGTCGACATATGGAAGAACGTTCTGTTGTTTGACTGCGCTAGAAATCCACAAATTGACATGCAAGGAGTTAAAATACGCCACTAGCTGTGCTATCTGCAATTCTGTTCAACTGAACACCAATATATCGTCCGCGTAAAGTTTGTAATAGGGTAACTGCGCTATTTCTTAAGGTAGGCTTCGTTCTATCATCAGCACGAAGAAATCAGCTAGTATACGACCCAGTGGGCTGCCGACGAATACCCTATCTATTTGGCAATACGGTATGTTTTGGAAGTGGAAAGCGACATTCCCTATGTGGGTGGAAGTAATCATTCTCTTAAGAATTCAACTGAAATCGGCAACGGACATTCGGAACTCTCTGGTAATTCCTAGATGTAGCCAAAGGTCTTGTGTGGCGTCACGTTAGTAAACAAAGATTCCACATCTAAGGAACACATCACCTTATCGGATAAGTCCATTTTCTTGAGATTTTTGACAAGCTCAAAGGACTCTTTGGGGCCATATATATTAAACTGAGGTTTTAGCGGAGAAAGCACATTAATCAAACAGCAAGCTAATTTAGTTTGTGGTGCATTTGTCATCGTCAGGATTGGTCTGAGCGTCAATCCGTTATTGTGCGTTTTTGTACACCCATATAGCTGTGGCGTAGTTGATCCACTCGGCTTTAAACTGTTATAAGTAGCGCTGTCAATCGCGTGATGTTGATGAAGCATTTCTAAGTGGCGATGAATCGGGAATCGAATGCAGTCACATCCCCTGCATTTACCAGTAGTTCAAATTTGCTAGTTTCTGAGTATGATGCACATTTTCTCGATGTATTCATCTTTGTTCATGACGACAACGTCTTCAGATTGGGCTTTTCAAAAACGGTAATGTCAATTATCACCAGATGCTAATCACATCTTCTACAGGGCTTTGCCTGAAAATACGTCCGTTATACTCGACCATACATATGTGCAAAGCCCTATTGGTAATAAATTATTAAACAAGAAATCAGTTATCCTTGCTTTTCAACTCGCTGCAGTACCATCTAATTGCATAAAACGAACAGATTAATATAACGGCCTAACGAGATTTTCAGAAAAAGTCCGCAATGAATGTTTTTTCATACTAACTCTCGTTAAATAAAATTTTGATAAACTTCACTCCGCAATTGT